TTCTCTCCCCCCCCCCCCCCTCTTTTTACTTTTTTTTACATCGTCTCTTCGCGAAACTTTTATTTCACTCGTTCTCGTTCATTTTTTTTTTCTTTCTCTTTTTCATGTTTGTGTTCGGAATTGTTATACTCTTTTGCGTGCAGAGTATAGGATATCGGTTTGCGACAATATTTTCTATTTTTGTACATACGTCTGAGATGCTTGTTGTATTTTGGAGATTATTTTGTCTATCCCGATTCTTTTCTTTTTTTATTTTTATTCAAGATCGGTGTGACCGATCGCGTCCTATCGACTTCTTCGTGGTCTCCTACATTTAAGAGTTAAGTAATCGTTGCGATATTTACCTACATCAGGTATAAGACCACCGCGCATTTCATGATTTTCATAATTATTTTTTGTATCTCGCTAATTATTTCATTTAATCGCGCGCGCGACACGATTTAGACGCGCTTCCTTATTTTCATTGTGTTCAATCTACGTTTCTTTTTTTTTTATCATTGGCAACCTTGCTACCCGCAGCATCGTGTTCCTTATTTCTTCGATCAAGGCGGGCAACGCAGTAACGTTAACGGGAAAAGGAAAATTAAGCATACTCATTGCTTGGCTGAATATACATTATTGACGGATGTAAATTTGAGGAATATACAAAGGACAAGTAGTGCGGTACCATTTTTATAAATAATATAAAAGAAAAAAAAGGAGAAAGCACAAGAAGTAAATTGGGGCCAATCAGCCCTTGTTCCCCTTCCCTTTACCCTTTATTCTCTTCCTGACGCCGAAAGACTGCTCGGTGTCGTCGTCATTATCACCAGTCCCACCTTTCCTCTTCTTGCCTTTTCCCGATTTCTTACTCTCCTCGATGTCCTTCATTTCCTAGCGAAACACAAGGAGCACGATTGATCGTTTGAATGATAATTACTTTAATCTTATAAAAACGCAGCTGTGACTAGGCGATACGATTATAAGTGAAAAGAAATGACTATTAAAGTTCTTACGATAAAATGAATATCAACACTTATCAACTTTCTGGAATCCTGAATAATGTAGTGTACAGATCTTTTCAATTGAAATAGATCAGTTGGATTTTACTGCTGATGAACTCGCTCACTTTTGGCTGTTAAAATTTTTACAATGACTGGCGCAGGCAGAACCAAAACAATCTCATTGGCAATTGTCGAAAAAGTACACTGGTACCTTTCAACTGAATAAATCTGTACAAACACCTTTTACTTGTGTATAGTATTTTTGATTGTGCGAATGGATGATACGAATTATCAGTAAATGATCGACTGTGTGCGTGCGTGTATAAATATTAATTAAAATCCAAAAGATAAGAAGAAAGTGTAATTAAAACGCTTGAAAATTAAGTGATACTTACCATCTTAACCATACGTTGTGCTTCAGCCACACGCTCCTGCAGTAACATTACTTCCTCTTCTTCGGTAGGATAAATCGGAAGCTGCTTTGAAATCAGTTGCTCAATTCGCTGGTACAGCTCAACGTCGTACTGCGTTACGAATGTAATGGAACGTCCTGAGCGACCAGCCCGCGCTGTTCTGCCAACGCGATGAATGTAGTCTTTACTATGAGTCGGGATGTCGAAATTTATAACGACGTCCACATGCGGAATATCCAGACCTCTGCAGGTAAGATAAGAATAAAAATGTCATATGCATAACTAGTAAAACATTCTACCTAGTCGTTTGTATACCTGCTTGCTACATCTGTGGAAATTAATATGGAACGATTTTTTGCTTTGAATTTTGTCAAGGCAGCTATTCGTTTATTCTGCGACATTTGCCCATGCAATGGTACCGCCATGAATCCCAAATTTCGCAAAAGTAATGCTGTTCGCATTGTATTGTTGCAAGTGCCGCAAAAAATCATAAAGCTGTTTCCGGCTAATTCATTCAATATATGTACTAGATAAACGTCCTGCGATACAAAATTATTGTCAGAGTTTGAAGTAATTTTTGAAATTGTTATTAATTTTCTTTTCGACATATTAAGACACGAGTACCTTGAATTTTACGGGAATGAAGATGTAGTATTGTTGCAATTTTTCTACGGTTTGATATTTCGTGGATACCTCCACTTTCACTGGATTTTGTAACGAAGCCCTTTGAAGTTTTTGTACCTTTTTTGTCATCGTTGCCGAAAATAATAAAGTCCTTCTCTCGCGTGGAATTACGCGTAATATTTTATCTACTTCTACTTCAAAATCCATGTTCAATATTCTATCAGCTTCGTCCATTACCTGAAATTACATAAAATATTTATAGTTAATCTATTTCACATGTGCAAAACAATCAATATGATTAGTAATACCAAATATTTAAGGGAGCGTAGATTGAATCCCTTTGTATTTTCTAGATGATCTACAAGTCTTCCAGGTGTTGCTATTAAAATGTGAGGTTTCTTGGCCAGTAAAAGGGCCTGGGACATCATATCCATTCCTCCGACAATTACAGCACATTTTACACCTATAGTTGCACCTAAAAGGACGAACATGTGAGCTCATACTTGTTATTATTGATTCATTCATAATTTGATTATTACCCAGTGCTTCAAACTGTTCAGAAATTTGAAAGGCTAATTCACGGGTAGGTGTCAATATCAGTGCAAAGTATCTCTGCGGATTTTCTAATAGCGACTGCAATATTGGAAGAGCAAACGCTGCAGTTTTACCAGATCCAGTTTCAGCCAATCCTATCACGTCCTTCCCTACAAAATAATTGTAAGTGTTAAACAATGTTTAATACAATAAATATATAAGTAGCTTCATATTTCTTTACCTTGCAGAGTTAAGGGAATTGCTTCTTTCTGAATCTTGGAGGGTGTCTTCCACTTAAGCTCTTCACATGCTTGGCAAAGAGAATCCACTATACCCTATAAAAAAAAAATTAGCATCAATGGAAAAAAATCAGTTACTAATATTACCATCAAATATTATAAAAGCAAATACAATTTAAAGGTTAAAATCAATACGCAATAAAGTTAAACAAACTAAGGCATTACCAAATCTTTCCATGACACTTCTTCGTCGTCCTTCTCCTTCACAATTTCCGTCTCATTATCCTCGTCCATTTCACTTAACAAAATCACAGTTTATCATAACCTAACTTAACATAAAATCCATGTGTTTATAGATATATGTAGTCAAATCCTTCCTGCCTCCCTTCCTTACCTTTATGGCTGTAACCCCAATGGAGGATGTGCTAGCCACTAGTCTCGTATAATCAAGATTGAGAGTTCAACACTAGATGGCGATGTACCGATACAGAACTTACATGTAATTGAGTATGAGGAACTTACAGAGTTTATACACCGAATCTGATAGTGTTGGAATAAATTCAGTGAAGTATACCCGTGTTACACAGAAGAGTAGGGAGATGTCCAATGAGCCGATTTTCAGGGTCCAACTTTTATTGGTCGAGTATATATAGTAATATTACGCGTGATATTCCTGAGGTCCATATACCGAGTGGTGCTCTAAAACATCTGATGACGACGCGCCACCTGGACGGAGCTTCGAACCAGTCACATTTATGATTGGTTGAACGTATACTCTAAGAAAAACCCCAAATCTGGGTAATATCGAAAACATAAGTTTCCCGATCTTTTTATAGTCACCCTCTTACACCTATAATGATGTCGGGGGTTGCCCTTCCGCCTCAACCGTTAAGCTTGCTCAGTGGGTCGGGCTCAAGTTGTGGTCACAATAGGACCTTCTTGGGCTCCTGACGGGGGCTTTGAACCTCTTATGAGTACGCTACCGCCATTGTGTCTTATATAATGAATCTGGTAGAATTTTTCGAAACTGATAAAACTGGTCCCCAGGAAAATGCAATTTTAGGACATAATTTATCGAAGTTTTGTTCTACGTCTTTTAGCGGAATTTCCTAGTCGTAGCAGTTGTAGCCTATCGTGAGGGGCTGAGGGCCTCCGTCGGAAGACCCTAAAGGTGCGGCCACAATTTGGGCCCGGACCCAGTGAGTACGCTCAGCGAATGAGGCGGAAATTGACCAATGGTGTCGTTTCTTTCGTTACCGCCGCTACTGCCACCGTGCGTAAAATTTTCGCACCACGTGAACAACCGCGAACGTGCAAAGTTTCAAATTTAAAAACATTTTCTTATGCTTTCATACTCCATGGAGAAGAGTTTAAAGAAAAAAATGTTTCAGATTCAAAAAATCCTGCATGGATAGGAACAGTCATACAATGTAAGTATAGCTGCTGCCGAATAAAGCAGTTTATGACATTTCGAATGAGCGTAGGTGTTAATCCACAAGGAATCAGGCACACCTCGTTTCCTCAGAGTTATGTCATCGCGTATATTTTGCGCAATGGTAGGGGATCCGTATAATGCAGTCATTAATGTTTTCTTAGTCCAGTCAATGGTGATTGCCATTGCGACAAACATTCGCGTGTTCCCGCGCTGAGAACGCGTCCCAATAAGATTCGAAAAAATTCTAAAACATCTAGAATTTCGTGAAAGCTTTTGAGGACGCGTAACGCGCAATTATCCGACCGATTAGTTTTGCGAGTATTACATTTGTCGATATTACCATTACATTGACATTTAAATCGCAATCTTACGAATTTTATACGAAAAACGAGACGAAAAAATGGTTCACGAGCTTATCAAAAGGAATTCTCGTACTACGAGCAAGGTAGCACAATAGTTGGTTTAACATTATAGATATTTTTTAATTCTATTAATATTTTTATAGTAGTTAACATAATCTTCTATTCCAATTGACTGATGTATTATTGTACAACTAATTTTCACCGAGGAATTATATTAGAATTGAGAAGTCAAAATAATTTAACACAGTTTTTATACTATTAATATAATCTATACATCAATAATATTCTGGTAGATGGAACATATGTTTTTTTCCGAGAAATGTAATTCATTGGTCGATCCTTTAAGAACGACTTGTATGAGTCACGTATCACTATACGAAAAAGTGGGACTACATTTAAATAAATTATTGGAGCATAAGCAGACCGAATCATGCGAGACAGAACAAAGAATATTGGATATTCATAGAATTGAGTAAATCACAATCTAAGATAAATTAATCTACCATCATGATAAAAAATGCTCAGTTCTCATAAAATAAATAAAAAATGAAACGTATCACCTATTGCACTTAAAAAAATGTAATGAAGTAAACCTTTTTCGTAAAAACAGTCAGTTCACAATTTTCACAGATGGTAATTAAAATAAGAAACGCAATAGATTAATAATATTCTTCATTACGTAGCAGGCGCGTGTCGTGTCGGTACTTTACATGGAATCGAAAGAGTACATATAAATTGAAAACGATCAAAATGCGTCGCGGAAGAGGAATAAATAGCGATTCGACGGAAACGAAGACGCAAGGTAGCGTAGCTGGTGTGGAACGCGGGTATTTCAGTCTCTGGTTTAAATGGTGGATATATATTCTTACTCACGGCTGCGTCGGCCTATTATTAGTTCCTAGTCATCGGATCGTGCAGCTTCTGTGTACAGCAAGAAGTAACGTACGTTGCTCAGAGCGTAAAGGAAAGTGCACAAGAGAAATAGTAGTGATATCATCCATCGTGATTGAAAGGACCTGTAGCGATTGGTGATGGTGTCGTGGCTCGTGTTGCAGCCTTAACAAGCATGGTTCTCGCTATCTTCTCACTGTGAGTTCCGTCATTGGGATAGGAGGAAATACAAATAAATCTTAAAAGTCATAAACAAAAGAATTAAACAAAGATCATATCAATTAATGAAAATGTCGAGAAACTAAAATCCTACATTTCCTTTTAAAGCTATACATTTTTCAAAAAGCATACGTTCCCGGAAGTTCTTTCAAGCGCTTCTCGTATATCCACCCTAATAAAAACGATCAATAGTTATAATCCGGTTGTTTAATGAAATTACAATGTGCCCTGAACAAACACGTTCTTAAGATTCTTCAACCTCAAAGCATCAGAAGCCATCCAAATGTCTCCTAGTGAACCGCGAGGTATCTTCTACGTCGCAAACCTATCTTGTTTCCGGGAATCGTTTCTTTTCCGGAGATCCTCAGTGTGTCATACTACCAAAATAAGATCGATCCCAGCCTCTTCCGATGGCACTCTTGCGTGTCTACTTCTTGTATCAAATCATATGATCTATCCCTCTCTTCGTCACTCGACAAAAGTCTAGTAAAACTATCGAGTATTCACAACGAGCGACACTGGTATTTGTCGTTTCTACTACTGTTACTTACTGACTGACCATAAAAACTTTCGCCGTAACCTGTCAGTACAAATTTGGTCTGAAGAACAACGCGACAATTATTCCATCGCATAACGACCTTCCACTTAAAAAGCTCTACAATCTCCGTACGCAGACTTTGGTATAGTTGGTGCACATGCTAAATAATATTGTGATCATATGTTACCTTGTGCTGAGTTACAGACTGTATGCAAGAAATACGTATGTGCTGCCGCCGTGAGTGAAAAGTGCAATACTGTATTACGCATCGGTTATACAGGAAAACCGACGAATTTCAATTTATATAATGAAAGGCTCATAAACTAGACTTAATGATTAATATTCATACGACGAAACGTCTGTAGAAAAAGACAGACTTGGCTAGACGCTTCTTAACCATTGATGTGGTAATAGATTACTATTTTTTTAATGAACGCCTATACGCTGGCAACCCGTCATACGTTGTTGTATACTTATTTACCGTGCTATAGGGACGATCGATTTTAGTCAAATGATACAATGATAGTTACAAGCTATTGTTATTGAGATGAGGGTGGTTTGTTGGGATCTTATACTCTTTTAGTATTCTATTGTAATTTTTGCTTGCATAATATGTGAAAGGATGAAAAAGTATTATGTATTGCAGATGAGGGATGCAGTTCTGCAAAAACGAAATCATAACATAGTCAGTCCCAAATCTAAACCAACCCTTCAAATTTATCGGCCTCCAGGTTTGTATTCTTTTTATCGATTCTAAGGTCGCGTTACTATCTAACGATGATTCGAGTATTGACGATTACATTTTGTTATGCAATTCCAATGACTGAGATGATTTTTTATTATTGGAATATATTGCATTGTAGGTGTAAGAACGGACGGAACCACGGCCAACGCTACTAATCCACAATTGAACGTGCATGCTAAGGAGTTCACTATGAAACAGAATGACTTGCATCCTTCCAAGTAAATATTGTCATTGGATTTCTTATGAATGATTCGATGATCGTGTAGGTTGAGTGTGAATAAAAGTGATAGCTGTGGTTCTGCAATGAGATTGAGAGATTTTATAGATCTATATAGGTTTTATTACTTTATTAATTAAACATTTCACTGATAAAGATCCCAGATGAACTCGTCGGACCGATCCTCCTACTATCTTCAGCACAGTAAATCCAGTGGAAATGTACATCGTTACCTATACGCTCAACAACAACATCAGCAACAGCAATTGCAGCATCCCCTGCATCCGTTGCATCAGAATGTTCATCATCCACATCAATCTGCGTCTTATCATCCCTTAACGGGATCCACTATGAGGCATTTACACGCTCTGAACACGTCGGCATCCAGTGGAAATATTCTGCATGTTCGTATCTTGAATAAGATGAGAATTTATTTTATATGAAAAATTAATTCATTGTTAACTAATTTATCTTAACTGATTATCTTTATATCTAATATATTTTTAATGTCCAAATCAGGGTTCCGGTAGAGTACACTTTAGCGTCGATCAAACCGAAGCCAAAGCTGCAAATTTACCGAAACCTGGAAAGCTCACTAAATCCTTATCATTCGTATCTTCTTATGGATTGAAAAGGTCTAAGAGCTTGAATAGTGCAGATGTTTTGGCAGCAAAGGCTATGAACATTTCGGATGCTTCAGAATTAGGCAAATTTCCACCAAACGTGCAGGACACGTTGATCAAGGCAATAGATGGTAAATTTATACAATTTTTTTATTTTTTAATTATCATGAAATCTTGATTCTAAAATTTTTATTTATTAGATCCAAATTTACTGAATTCTCGAGCACTGATGGAACTTGTACGACACATTTTGGAACGAGTTGTAGAAAATCGAAGATACGCGGAACCAGCAGCCAAGATTTGCATTACCATAATCGAGGTAACCGTATGGAAATTATATTATTCTTTCTATTTTTATCCCATTTTCTTGATTGCTACCATTTATCTACATTGCCGCATGTCTTTTGCTCAGAAAGAAATCAAAGAGACCTTTCTGGAATCGTTGCTGAATACTTGTCAGCAATGGTACCAGGAGAGGAGTAGAATACTACAGGACATCACAGCCTGCCACCATTATTCAGCTTTTATGAGCTTTCTCAATGAAATGTACTGTCAGGTATGTCAGATAATTTGAGTAATTAATTACTTACTAAAAACGTGTGATTTTAATAACATTGCTTTATGACTATCACCGTCCCTGTTTTTTATAGCCAAATATAACAGCCCAAGGATAATACTCGTAAAGAACATACTTTATGGAATTTATTTCTATAATTTTACTGAAATCATTTTCGTATCAATGTTTAAAACAATTTTTATTATATGAAATTTTTAATAGAATATAATTTTTATTTTAGCTAAAACGCAGACAGCTACAGTTGAAGACACAACAAGAGGGAGTTCCTCCAGGTCGCGTTTTACTTACTTTACTGTGGAAATGCTGTCACGATTGTTTGCAGCCTCCCATGATAAATTCTCTTGCTGAGGTAAGATAAAATCTCATTATCACATGAAAATGTAAATATTTTCAATCATATACGATTCCAATATTTAATTTATTGCGTTTAATTGATCACCAGACGGATTGTCTATTCTTCATCCTTACTTGCATTGGTAAGGACCTGGACACGGAATTGCCAGCTCAACTTCAGCAACTCTTGGGTAGCGTCCGGGATGCCTTTCTTGCTGAACAGACAACACCACCAGCAGTAAAGAGAACGTTACTCCAATTAATAGAATTGCATGCGGCGCATTGGCAACTTCCGGCACCGGCTGTAATATATTATTATCCTGGTGCATCGAAATGACTTTGGACAATTCTTCATGCTGGTTACATCGAAACTTTTATTACTGTGCCTTTTCTTAATGCTATCTGTAATTTTCTTTCCATAACGGTAATAAACGAAACTTCAAACAGACTTGAAGAAAATTCTTAGAAAAAGAACATTGTTGTGTTGAAAATCCATGTATGAGTAATGCAAAATCTATAACGAATCCATTATTTGTTTGCGGATAAATAAGAAATATTTAGCTTCCGGTACACATAAAGTGAAGTCAAGCATAAATTTTTTACATTTTCATTGAGAAGGAAACGTTAACTTCCGTGACTTCTTTTTAATTCGTTGCATTTATCTTGAATGCAGATAAAGAGTTCCGAGCTGTTCTCCAAATCATTACCAAATAAAAATTCTCGAACAGAGAAATATATATGATAATTCAAGATATAAAGATTCGATATTGAATATTCATGAATCTTTGCAATGTGTACCTACGCCTTAGGTATTGGGTAACATATAGGATGTTGTAATATTACATTATTTCATACCTTCTAGTTCGCCTACTTATTTCATCGCAGTAACAGTCAAGAGTATCACTGCTAGAGTCAAGTAAGTTTAGAGTAACCATGTAGTATTTATGATAATAGACAAAAATAGAGAATTTTCATACTAATTAGAATTTCGTAACTAATTTTGAAATACATTATCGATCGAAATTACAATGGAATTTCGGATTCAATTAATTTATGAAGTTGGTCAATTAACAGCTAATTAATTGAATTCTGTCATCAATAATTTGAATCGCAACCACTTCTAATCAATTCCTATTGCTCCAATTATATGTGTAATATATATTAGTCTGTACTTGTCTCTTGGTCGTGTAATTTGGTCGAGAATCTATTTAGAGCGACAAGGCAAACGCGTCTACATGTATATTTGGCACTTGCCAGTTTCGAATAGTGTGGCCAGGCAACGTGGCCAAACAGACGAAAGCAGTGAAAAGCTTGAAAATATTAAGTAATATTCCGCACACGTACGTAATAGCAGTGTTTCGCTCTTATCGAGAACAGATTTTTTTCATCTATTTTACTTTTTTCTCTGACTTCTCTTTCTCCTTTAATGCCCTATTAAATCAGCTTTTCTTGCTTTTCGCTTTCACAACGAGACCCAAATTTATATCCCGTTGGCATTAACCGCAAAGCTTGCATTAAAATTGCTTTATTAACAGTAATTGCGTAAGGTCAGCAAATATAATATTACCTTATGTTATTTGAAAACAGAAAAATTCACCAAATATATAATTTTATGAATATGCCAAAATTTGAAAAATATTAATGAATTACAAAAATTTATATTTTTCGGTCAATTAATATTTATACGGAATGCTGTAGGTACGCGTATAAATTTCGATTTATAAGCACGCCGTATAACCAGTTCGCATACAAAATTGGATTTAAACAATTTACACGAGAATTACAGAGAAACCACGTTCGCAATGGTGATTTAATTTTTATCCAGTTGTAGGTCACTAGCCGCGCGGAATTTTAAATTCTTTAATAATTCATATTAGAATTGTTTTCGCAGTAAACGTAACATTAGTCATTGAAAAAACAAAAATTTACACTGCTCCTTAATATTCCACATCTAGGACGCAATCATTAAATATAATCAAATCAGCCTACACAATCTGGCAGTTTCACAAAAAATATGACATAGCAGCATTAGCGTGACAAGCTTAACTACCAATAATACCAATAAATTTCAAACTAAAAAAATGATTCTATTTATTTCAGGTTTCCAGAATATTTCGCTTTCTCACAAGCATCCAAGTGTCAAGTGTCAAGCCACTATCGAATTGAGTCGTAAATCATTCCTTTGCAATTTCCTACGATAAGATGACAGATACTCTACTGGCTTTGGCAGTTTCGACACTTTACATTATACTTACAAGCCTGATAGCTTTCTGGAGCAGAAAGTATACAGAATATTATGTACGAGACTCTTTTCTGAAATCGCTTTTCCTCGAGGGTATAGCAACGGCCGAACTTTGCGGGGCGTGTTTTGAATTGATCATAAGTAAGTTCGATAATATGACGTTGTGCAAGATATGAAAGACAGAAGGTAGTTGTATAATTATACATCGTACAGTGGCGCTAATTAAAATCAGTCTGCAATCTTAATTACAGGTGAATTCAGTTAAGTGTACAGTCCAAGGAACAAATGTTTTCTTTAACTCCAGTACCGCTGTCATTTTTATCTCAACAGTAATTAAGCAATATCAATCTTTCATCGCAACAGCAACGCGCCATGACGAATGTCTGTTCAGTGCAGATTGAAGCAATGAGTAATTAAAAAAAAATGATTTTTTTTTTCATTCGATTCGTCTGCACGCCTCGATGATTTTTATTCGATAAATTCGAAACTTTCGATTAAACAGCCCATATAGGTGTACAGGTACACATAAGTTGATTTACGGGTGACGTTTAAATGACAATCGTGTCGGGTTTCAGTGAAACAGTAATTGCTGGAATTACACGGCGAGTCGAGTCCACGCAATCTTTTCGCTTGAATTTTTCTCTTTCACTTAATTTTTTTCCTTCTTCATCATCATCATCTTCTTCTTCTTCGTCTACTTCTTTCCTGCGGACCTCAGATCCCTCACGGTTGTAGCTCAGCTTCTGGAACTTTCATTCTGTCGCTTTAAATGGATTTCAGTCGCGGATAATTGGGGCGTTTCCATGTACGCGATCTATCTCTTCGTCCTGACGATTTGGTGGTCGCTCAACTGGGGTGACGCGACTGCATGTCCTTATACGCATCTCGAGGAACTTGTCGAGGGTAAAAAAAGTGCAAGGAATGCATTTTTACTTATCTGGGCCGAACTCGTTGGCGGCCTCGTTGTTTTTCGTTACATTCAGCTACTCTGGTTTCTGGAAATTGTACCGACACATAAGGATCGAGCTTTTGAGGATTGTACTACGGATCTTCAGGTTAGTGTTCATGGTATTACTGTAGCAAAAATTATATACTAAATTACTGTGGGAAATGGCGGAGACTATATATATATATAAATTTGGCGTTAGGCTATTGCGGATACGATTTCAATACATTAAACATATTTTTAAAAATATTTTATATATATTCTGTATATAATTTATACATATTCTATATATAATATATATGATTTATATATATTCTATTTATACCTATATTATATTAATAATATATTAAAATGTTCATTCTCAGGACATTGCTTTTGACTACCAGCCAATTAGGTGACAGCGATTTCATCTCAGCAGAAAGAATCTTTTAGGAACATTCCCCAAAGTCCCCGTTTTGTGTATATTTTGAGGATAATCCTTAAACTAGCCTTACGATTGAATTTGCCGGTAATATTTTTGAGGACATACCCCAAAATGACAAATTCAGGATGTCTTGAAATCGCCCGATCGCTCGAGGGTTTAAATTTTGTTCCCAATTCGCAAACCAGCCCATAAAATGAAATTTTTGCGCGGTCCGACCGCGAAACAGCCACAAGTCTTTAGAATATTCGATTTATTGAAGTAGTTGTCCCCGCATTAGCCCATAGACAAAAATATATATACGCACTATAAATACTGCTAATTTGTATATTTATGATTATTTTCTTTACAGGTACCTGTCATTTATGGAGCTTTCATCGAATGTATAGCCACTTGCATGTGCAGGGTTGCTTCAAGAGTCTTGGGTGACCTTAATCCAAGATTCGCAACTGCTATCGATTCCTTCGTCGGTACATCTCTAGTTGTTGCTGGTACGTTGTGATTGACAATCACTTTACTACGTATTCAGGCTGCCATTTTACTTATTTAATGATAATGCTTCACTCAACAATTCCAGCCTTTAATTACTCCGGCGGTTACTTCAATCCCGCCTTGGCGACTGCATTGAAGTATGGCTGTTTGGGTACCAGTTTCATGGAACACGTTATTGTGTATTGGGTCGGTGCATGTGCAGGCTCAATCGCATCCATAAGCGTTTACAAGATGAGTTTTGTGCAAAATTTCATTCGGCAACAAAAGCAGAAGGTTGTTTGAGTTGGAAAGAAATTCTGGATTGACAAAATTTGGTGAAAAAGGAAAAAAAACAAAGGTCAATTATATTTTTCTGTAAATAGTTATATTTATGTATACTTATGTATGAGTATAATTAGATATCAATTGTCTTAAGATATTGGACCGTACAAATCTTATTGATAGCTCTGTACAAATTAATTATAATAATAAATTCTCTTAGTCTGTTATTGATTATAAATTAATAATGTACATTGTAATTAATTACGGGATTTAATGGATCATGAAATTGTCAGTGATTTATGTAATTCGATTTTATATCCATTATTAATACGGAAGAACAGTCCGAACTGATGTACTTCAAAGAGGTTATGTTATTATATTCTTATTGGATGATTCTGGGGGAAATCTACCAAATGAACCGATAAAGACAACGAAGGCGGTTCTGTAACAGTAATATCCGATTGTGCTTGGGGCTAATGCCGCAAAATTCGATTACGTTAACCGAATTAGACGACTAACTAGGCCAAACTCTCTCAGTCAAGGGCCAGTTCTCGCGTGAACGTTGTTACTGGCAATTGTGCAGCAGCTACGAATAGTACAAGAATTATATAGAAATTGCAGAAAATAAGAAAAAAAATTGCAAGAAGAAGTAGATGATTGTCAAGATATTCAATACTTGGTGCACGACTTTATGCGGTTTGATAAAGTTTCCAAAAATACAGGATGACTAAAAAGTTTGAATTTAACTGGCGAATCGAAGTTCCTGAACTTCTGCGAAATGGATCGACTTTTGATCGCTGGTTCGAGGATAAAGAAAGCACCGAGTTCGAGCCGAGTTGTCTATTCAAAGTCGACGAGTATGGATTTTTCATATATTGGAAAAGTGAGGGAAAGGTGATTATCTTTATTTGTCCTTAGAATTTGGCATAATAAATATTGTGTAAGGATGAATTGAACGGGCGGGCAAAGGAAAGTTTTGAAAACCAGTATTACACCGGGATTACGAAAAAAAATTTAACTTAAAGAATCCTCACCGGTGCAGATTTGTCTAATTTACATACGATTGAGAAACCCAAACAATATTATTCATGTGGTTAAATTATTCTGTGAAACTCGGTATTTTTTTATTGTAAAGATATACATGTATATGTTATCAATGATTGTACCGAGCCAAAAGCAGTTTCAGATTTTTATGTAAAATGTATAAAATTAAAATATCTGAGTAACGGTAAGATAACGTTAAGCTTAAGAGTCCTCTATAATTGCAATGGTGGTGGTTTCAGAATAATTATGGTGGACTTCAAGGGCACTTGATGAAAGATATCAAAGCGAATGGAAAAAGCGAAATGTCAGGGGTCGAGTGAATCAGAATGCAAAATGGGAAAGAGTAAAATTTTACAAGGGTGTTCAAAAAAAACTTATAACCCTGAATATTCAATGCGGATTTAAAAGACAATAGTGCGACGAACAATGAGAGAGCATTACGTGATATTTGTAAATTCTACGGTCGTTTTGTTATTTTTGCTAGTCGGGACGCTGTAGAAATTATCCTAATAGATATTTTACCATATTGACTAATAAAGTTTTTAATACTGGAAGACAACAAAATTTCGCCAATCGCAGTCAAGACACTTGACTTTTAATATGGAGAAATGGGTTACTTCGTAAAGGAATAATGCAGCCACAGACAATAGAAAATTTGAATTCTGTGTTTCTGCATATTTTGCCGAAAAAATTTTCGATGTTTACACGCGAATTCGTCTTTTTTTTTCAAAATTTTACGGTTGCGTAATGAATGTCTATCGGCAACGTTATTTATATATATCCTCGAACAAGACGTTTATGAATTTATAAATAATATTTACCTATAAGTACCGAAAGGGGAAATAACACTGTTCTTATGCACTCAGGATGCACTTTGCTATGCACTTTCCTTGACAATAGATTTTATACATACACCTATATACATATATACAGACACACATATGTATGCGTTTATGCAGTTATGTTATGTATATATCGATATTGCACTAGTAGGGAGAACTATTTTATGAAATTTTTTCATCGTGCGATACTATGATGAAAATTACGTTTTCTCAGGATGGAGACGTTATAGAACTAGCTCAAGTGAGCGACATACGTTACGGCGGAACACCAAAGGTACTTGTAATGAATTCTATAAGAATTCTCATCCACTGCAATCTTCATGTCTCGCATAGAACAGTATCTTAGCATTTTGCTTCAATTACCATTAACATTGTCTTGAGTATACGGTCATGACAGTAAATACTTTTTTTTTTATTACTCGTACAGGATCCAAAGTTGTGCAACAAATTAAGCAAACATGGGACCACTGAACAATTGGATGAAAAAAGTTTGACTATCTGCTCGGGTGTTGATTATACGAATATTAACTATCAACATGTCGTTTGTGCCGACACACAGACTGCCAAGGTAACTTGAGCAACGTTTTAGGTTAAAAGATCAAGTAAATTTGTATTTTTTCTTAGGATTGGCAAGCTGGCTTACGGTTGATTACGCATAATACTAAAGCCAGTAATGTTTGCCCTACTATTCAGTTGATGAAGCAGTAAGTTTTCAATTTTACCGTACGATAATTTTTTCTGTACTGTATCGAAGGAGCAGTTACGTAATTGTAGGGTTTCTTTTTAGTTGGATGAGATTGAGCTTTTCGGTGGATCCGAAAGGAAAAGTACCGGTGAAAGTGATATCGAAAACTTTTGCATCGGGAAAAACGGAAAAATTGGTATATCAGGGATTGGCTGATTTAGGACTGCCCAGTGGAAAGGTGAGAGATTGTTTAATTAAAAAATTGTTTAAAAGTTAAAAAATTCTTGTTCAAATATGTATCGTTTTCAGGGTGACAAAATCGAACCGGAGGCTTTCACTTTTGATAAATTTTATACACTTTATCATAAAATCTGTCCCAGAAACGATATAGAGGAACTCTTTCAATCTATGTAAATTTTTTTCAAATTTGAATATAAGAAATTTCAAAAAATTTAAGAATAAAGAGGCATTAACTATTTAAAAAATTTCTTTCGTAGAACCAAAGGAAAATCAGATTCGATAAATCTCGAGCAACTGATACAATTTATGAACGAAAAACAAAGGGATCCAAGACTTAATGAAATTTTATATCCGCTGTACGACGACAAGAGATGCGTCGAGATCATTAACGATTATGAGCCAGACGAAAAGGCAAAGAGCGAAAGTAAGTCTAATCAAGATAAAAACTTCATTTACAAAGTCCCCTTTTAATTTCAATTCAATCAACTGGAAGTGGTTAGGTTTAATGAAAAATTCAAATATCCATGAAAAATACATTCAGCACGTGTTCTCATATTAATATTCAAATCATGACAATCATTAATCGTCAACTCTGTCCAGGAATACCAATTGCCATAGCATTATGCAGAGTCACACTTGTTACCACGATTATTAGCGAAGCATCATGGTAATGTTGCCCCATAAAAATACGACAAATTGCAGCTAAGCATATAAAACAGAGTTCCTTTATTCTTAGTATATAATATAACCTAAAGTGCTAGGTTAGATTAGACTTTACAAATTGATGCACCAAACGACTGCATTGTGAGTCCCATCGAAGGAGTCGTTTCAATTACATTTAAAAATTCACAGAGAGGTTAACCAAGGATGGCTTCACTCGTTATTTAATGTCAGACGAGAACGCGCCAGTATTTCTGGATAAACTTGAGGAGTGGATGGACATGGATCAGCCACTAGCTCATTACTACATTAATTCAAGTCACAACACTTACCTCAGTGGCCGACAGATTGGTGGAAAAAGTACAGTGGAAATGTATCGTCAAGTCTTACTGGCTGGTTGTAGGTTAGTTTCCCCGGCAACTAAAATCGTGAGTTTTGATTGTAGAAAATTATCAAATATTTTATTCCAATTAGATGCGTGGAATTGGATTGTTGGGATGGCAAAGGAGAAGATGAAGAACCTATAATTACTCACGGAAAAGCCATGTGCACTGATATCCTCTTCAAGGACGTTATTTACGCACTACGTGATACTGCATTTGTCACTTCAGATTATCCCATAATTCTCAGCTTTGAAAATCACTGTTGCCTCAAACAGCAATACAAATTGGCGAAATACTGCGACGAAATCCTTGGCGACTTGTTACTCAAGGAACCCCTTAAGGACTACCCTGTAATTATATTTATATGATAGAGCTCGCTTAACCTCTTCCCGTGCCGTTTAGCTCGACGAAATCCGGGCCCAAGCCCAGAGTGATGTTCGAAAGCAGTTGCAATACTAACCGAAACGTAGATACTTGTGATATAGCCATTTGTTTTACGCGATATAGCTTTTATGGACATAAACACTAATTCTTTTTTCTTATATATATTATAAATCTATTATATTTTATAATGACAAATAACAGTTTCAAAACTATATTTCATAAATAAACAATACTTTAATAGAAATTACAGTCTTTTGAGCGTCTTCAAGTGTGGCTTTGTCCTAAGGAATCTAATAATACTACGCCTAAAAATGAAAAGGATATTATAAACAAAAAATTTAATTATGAAAAATGCTCACCTTGAATCAATATCTAATAGGAAATTACTTGAAACTCTGAAAATTAATATCAATTAATTTTCAGTCCACGAGTCCTACTCGTGATGTTTACGTTTGGGCCAAAATCTTCATCACGAGTTAGACTCGTTAAAGTACGGGAAGGGGTTAATCACTTTCTGAAAACGACTACTACTCATTTAATTATAAAATGGATTCCAGTTGGAGCCAGGAAATCCTTTACCACCGCCGAGCGCATTGAAACGTAAAATCCTCATAAAGAATAAGAGGCTTAAACCGGAAGTTGAAAAGGTCGAACTGGAACTTTTCCGCTCAGGTCAATTTGAAGCTAAAGATGAGGTCGTTGAGGATCCAAGTGCACCAGCAGGAGCACCTCCACCGGAACCACCTAAAGTATTGAACCCTCTAAATCTTTCATTGTTCAAATTTATTTTTCTACTTTAAAAAAAATTTATTCTGGGTATCTCTGTATGGTATTGATGAGTCAACATTCTTTTTTTGGTGACCTTCTTCTAGGAGGAAGTTCCGGCAGAAGGAGCTCCTGCTGCTGGCGCTGAGGGGGGTGCCGAAGGGGAAGCTCCACCAATTCCACATACCGGAAGTACGATGGCCTGTCATCCTTGGTTGTCATCGATGATCAACTACGCTCAGCCAATTAAATTCCAAAGTTTTGAAACAGCCGAGAGTACGTAAGAAATTTGAAAAATTGATATCTCTTCCTTAAATGCAGACAGATTGGCTTCCCCTTTTTTTTGATATTTATAGAAAAGAATATCCATCATAACATGTCCTCCTTTTCGGAAACTGCTGCGTTGAATTACCTGAAGACGTCTTCGGTGGAATTTGTGAATTATAATAAACGACAAATGAGTCGTATATATCCAAAGGGTACCAGAGCCGATTCCTCGAACTACATGCCACAGGTATTACGGGAAAGGAAGACAAAAAAAAAAGAAAAAAGGAAAATCGTATACAATACTTAGAGAAAGTGAGCGCTGATGTCATAGGTAATAGTGATACATAGGTACGGGTTGGCGTTTCTGCAATATTGAATTCTCTAAGAAAGAATAGAAAAGGATAAAGAACGGAAAAAAAAAGAAAATGGGCAACTACTAGTCACTTTTTAGTAGCCCGTTCAGGATTTGTTATCCGCAATAACGTAAGGAAATGCCAACGAAATATTTACATGTTTGCAAAGTTTAGGAAGCCTACTCTAAATTCCCTAGGTGGTCTAGAAATCTTATTGAAAACTCTGAGGAGGTTTATGAGAATTCATAAAGTTTCCGTAATACGTACCTAGACACTGTGGGATACCATGCAAATTTTTGTAAGGATTTTCACGTTACAGTCGTATTGTCAGATTAAAATGAAGGTTCACTTTTTGCAATCGAATTCCAGGCTTGCTTTAAAATCTGGTCACGAAAGGTAAAAGACAAGAAGTGTCTTATCGCGGTTTAATCTTTCCGACAATGTCAAGTATCAAGAATATTTATTACAAATTCCATTAAATAATTCGTAATTTGTTTTATGGGCAAAGTTTCTCATAGGCTAAAATTATTATGAGTTCTAACGCACGGCTTTATTAATTATTCAACCTGTACGCATACTTGAAGGTATTTTGGAACGCGGGTTGCCAAATGGTTGCTTTAAACTTTCAAACACCGGATTTGCCAATGCAATTAAATCAAGGAAAATTCGAATATAATGGAACAACTGGATACTTGCTCAAGCCAGACTTTATGAGACGACCTGATCGAAGTTTCGATCCATTTGCTGAAGGAGTGGACGGCGTAATCACAGCACAGTGTTCAGTACAGGTGAATTTAATTGTAACAAATAAGAACTGAATCCAACAAAAAGATGATAATAAAGCCATTTGGTTACCAAACATTTTTTAAATTAGAAAAAATTCAAAGTTCAGTATCTGAGTTTTTCTTGTTATTCGTCTCGAAGGTAATTGCCGGGCAGTTCCTGTCGGATAAGAAGGTCGGAACGTTCGTGGAAGTGGATATGTACGGTCTTCCTGCAGACACCATAAAGAAGGAGTTCAGGACGAGAATGGTTCCTGCGAATGGACTCAATCCCGTTTACAACGAGGAACCCTTCCTTTTCCGAAAGGTCGTCCTTCCCGATTTGGCCGTCCTCAGAATCGGTAATACTCACCAGCCAATTTTCTAACCAGACATAATTTGAGAAACCCTGTTCTGGTCTGCTTATGAGATTGACTATAGGCACCACATTCCTTTATAATGAAACACTTTCATCGATTCTTAGAAAATAGCACGATGACTGTATATAATTAAATTTAAAGAAAAAAGTACTTCAAAGGAAAACTTTATATCGTTATACGGTCTCTTTATGAATTTCATTTATCCTGGATTCAGCAGTTGAACAATTATTCGTATGGATTTTAATAATTGTGATTAATTATGGATTTTGATATTCAGGCGTTTACGAAGAAAGTGGAAAGCTTCTTGGACAACGCATCTTACCTCTAGATGGTCTTCAGGCTGGATACAGACATATCTCCTTGAAAACAGAAGCAAATTTTCCAATGGCACTGCCCATGCTTTTCTGTAATATTGAACTCAAGATTTACGTACCCGATGGATTTGAAGGTATAATATTCCTATCAGTATAATATTCTTGATAATCCAAAGGATGATCGAATTATATTCGTCTATTCAGCAATAGAATTCAATGCTGATTAATACTGTAATTAGATTTCATGGCGATGCTTTCGGATCCGGGTGCTTTTAGTAAAGGAGCTGAGAAAAGGGATGAGGCAATGAAAGGTCTGGGAATTGAGCAAACAGATACAAAGGCGGAAGCAAAGAAGAAAAAAGAAGAGGAAGCAAAGAAAGGTACGCGAATCTGAATTTAGAAATAGATTAATCGATTTTAACTGTAATCAACGTCAGTTGGACTTCTTTGAAATGTTAATGATTATTACTTCACAAGTCCCAATCAATAAATTTAACGTGTAAATATTACTGGAACGAATCATTTGTAAATTATTTCTCCACGTGAATATGTCAATTATCATTGATTCGCGTAATTTGGCACATATGAATTTAGGATTATTAATATTTTGGATTTTGTATTGATAGAGGAATTCAAGCTAGAACCAGTGACAGTGGATTTTTTGAGGAAGGACAAAGGTTTCTCGAAAACTGGCAAAAAACAGCAAAAGGAACTCGATACCATGAGGAAGAAACATTTGAAAGAAAGACAAACCATGCAGAAAAATCACTGTACGGCCATTGATAAGTTAACCAAAGGAAAAGAGTAAGTAATTAAAAAATAATTATAATATAAAAATGTTCACATCATATCAGTTTCATTATGCGTGAAATTAGACATTATATACTAAAAAAAAAATTTGTTCCCTCTTCCACCGACAAATTATTTCTAATGATTGCCAATTCCCATGTATTCTATATCTGAAACGAACTTGTATGTACGTACATAAATGCTAAATGTTCAATGCTGGCTCCATAAGGCATAAGGTTGGCAGTCTTCACTAGTATCTCCTCAGTGCCTGTTCCAGGAAAGATTAACTACCGACTTTATTTTTACATTTACTTGTTTGCCGAAAATGGGCTGTAAATCCACTCGGCATTTCGAGAAGTCAATCTTTGTTTTTCATTTCATGTTTTGCACGTTTTTAGCAAAGGGGCTCTAGCGCAAGACGCCAATGTAAAAAAGGTTATAAATGAGCAGACGTCCCAATGGTCTGCCATGATGGAACGTCAAAGAAAAGAGGAATGGGAATTGCTAAAGACTCATATACAAAATTCTCGGGAAGAAATGAAGAAGCTTATTGAAGTAGTGCAGGCAACGCAGAACAAGCAATTACAGGCAAAGCAGGATAAGTAAGCAGCTCCGAGTCGAATATTATTTTTTCTCAAATCAAACGTTTTCAAAGATAGTGATTTCATATTTATTTTGCACAGTTTATCTCAAGTGATCCTAAATAATTCTTTGTTTATTTACAATATTTTATTCACTCGCTCGCTAGGGATATTAAGGATATGAATGCAAATCAGGCAAAGATTTCTGTCGAGACCATGAAAGAGGTTATGAATGACAAGGCTTTGAAAACTAAGGGCGACAAGGATCGTCGTTTGCGCGAAAAGAAACAGAACAACACGAAGAAATTCATGGAGGAACGAAAAACCGTGCAAATTAAACAAGGTCGTGAAAAAGAAAAGCTCAAAGTCACTCACGAGAAGCAGGTGGCCAATTTGGATAAAGATATCGATGCGGTGAGTATTTCTGAAATATTTTCTAATTTTATTCCTGTCTCTTTAACCTCTACGTGGCCTTTGTTAATTGGCCATAACGTTTTCAATGATTTTCGGATATCTTTAATAAATTCTTGTAAGCATTCTTCCACCGTTATTAGTAACTCAGTCACTATTGACAATAAGTATACTGCCATTGTTAGTTATAATTATATGTACATAAATAAACGACACTCAATTCTTATGCATTCTTTTAATTTCTATTACAGGCCATAGAAATGTACAAAAACGAATCGGTCGAATATGATTTGTCATCAAAATCCGAATTTTACGTATAATCTGATAAAACGTACATCGCTAATTTCCTATTGCTAAATGTGAACACATTTTGCAACACTTTGTACGAGATATGTTAATGACTTTACTCTTGTGATATTATTTTACTATACCGTATACTAATTCTAAGCGATACAATCGCCTCGTATAATATTCGTAACGCATTTCAATCGATTTTAACTAATTACATATAAAATACGAACACAATGATTATTATAGACAGTGCACGAATAATAATGAATAATATAAATTTAGAAAAGCATAGTTATAATCTTCGTTTTTAACTCCCGATCAAATCTCCTTCGTTAATTTAACGGCTGGATTCAATCTCAATACTGAGTGCTAACCTATCAAATTGATTTCAACTTTTCGGACATTTTTATATACAATATATACAAAATTTCCATTAACACATTCGCGACGGGGCGTTTGCTGGCTGTGCTTACTGTGAGTACGGGGCCGTTTTCTGTCAAATGTTACAGTCGCTCATAGGTTTAGAAAAATTACTATAACTTTTTATGTAATTAATATTTCAGTATGAAATTTTAAAGAAGGGAGCATAGGACTTGTTTATACACAAAAATGAGATTAGATACTAGGTAATATTCCATTTCAAATTTCCTAAAATCCTAGTTAAATATCTTTTGAATAAATAAAAAAGAGAATATATTTTGAGGATAGATTTGTAGAGCGATAATCTAACACAATACAGAGTGCTTATTTACGGGGCTCAGGTGCTGGTTTCGATAAGTAGCGGCCAAACAATGAATAAGTATAGATACACGTATAAAGGAAGAAACGATAAGAAAAGATAAAGCATATTATTGGGAAAACATTCCTCAGTTTATTATTAGTGTCTACATATGGAAAAAATCTAGTAATAAGTGGAAAAAATGATATTTTTAAAGAATAGTTAAACGATAACTTAAATGACGACATAAGGCGTTATCCGCACCCAAGGGAAAATCTTGAATGACGACATGAGGCGTCATCCGACATGAATGTGTTAATATCAATCACAATACTAACTTACTTTTTTGTAAGCCGAATAGAAAATTAAAAAAATCCATGGAACATTCTTCGCGAAAAAGTGTTATTAATATGCGGCATTAATCGGTCGTAAAGTATACATATAATGGGTGTCTCAGTGCGCATGCAAAATCTAACAGTCATGCTTTGGCACACGTATAGAGTATTAATGCCTTTCAAACTGTCGCGAAATATTAATTAGTGATTGTTACTTACGTCATGAATCGGCGAGATCGCTCAATGGACTCACAGAATATATGCTATGGATGATCTATCGATCACGCGTCACATAACTTTGTGTGGCTATGAAAATAGCATCAGGAATGTGGCGCCAGAAAAGAATGCTGGGTGAAAAATAGATTGTAGCATATGTCATGCGAGAATTTTTACGGGTCGATATTTTTTTATCGGTAAGTATATATATATATATACATAATACATACATGTATCTATATACATAATACATACATGTATCTATGTATACATGTATATGCTTTTATTGTTATACAGTGTATATACAGAGTTTTAATAAATATCTTATTTCGTGAGGTATGTATAATTTGCACGATGATCTATCACTTATGTATATTTGACATTTTTATAATTAAGTAATATTCCGTAGTAATACTGCTTCCACTTCCTCTGACTCTACTTAGAATAATACTTACGAAGTAAAATCAAAAGTAATACACGAATATATCATGGACGAGTATATTTGACATTTTTCCTTTTTTTTTTCTTTTCTTTTTTTTTGCTACAAAAAATCGTCAATGTTTCTTCTATGAGAAATTCTACAACGATGTTTTTTTTATTTGATTTTATATTCAGACTGGTAATGAACTCGACGAACTCCGCGATTATTCTCACAGCTTGAAAATTTTTGCACGCAGAATATCGAGCGACAATGTCATAGAGCAGGGTTTCCCAAAGTTTTTCTCTGATGGAGCACTTTGAGGGTTTTTGATTTTTGACGGAGAACCTTTTGTAATTTGAAGGTTAGGTAATGACACATAATGAATAAATCTTAGAAAAATAAAAAATACTCGTTTCATGTAGTATTTATTTGAATTTCGAGTCATAACTAGGTCAGTTAGAATTCAGCTTTTCTTAGCATTTAGTAAAAAAGCTTTGTTATTAATATTTTTTTCGCGGAACAGTTGCTACCTTCCCGCGGAGCACAGTTTGGGAAACCCTGTCATACAGAATTTCTCCACCGCGCAATCGGATTTTCGATGAGTGCCCAAGATAAAATTCAGTGAAACTCTATTACTGATTGATTAGGTCAATTCTCAAATGTGTAATCGGTCCACGTGTAAAGTATTTCTGAATCTACTGAAATATATATTTTTTTCAATTTCAAGGATGTCATGAAAAGCCACGTATGATTTGCTAAAATTAGATTGTCATAAAAGATAAAAAAAATTGGGAATGGACTGTAGGAGAGGCACATTTGCACACGTAGCATATTAGTACATAAGTAGCATGGTGTGTTTTGAAAGATCCTGTACTGTCAAATTCGTGCGAATATACGACGTACGGATAAAAATTGTACTTTTAAATTAACTAAAAATTGTACGGTAAAAATTGTCTTAATTGATAAATCCATAAACCCGTGCGCCTTTTTATCTATTTATTTCCATTTTTTGTGTCTTTGGTTGGCATTCGCGCCATAGGAATTTTTTCAAAGTTTTTTCATCTTTGGTTATTAATCCTGATTGCTAATCGTCATACATCATCGACTCACCCATCCTTCCTTCAAGGATTCTCAAAAATTGTCAGGCGCTGCTTCTACGCGTAAGTCCTCATAATTTTCAGTCGCGATCCACAGCTTCGACAGATTATAGTTTATGGTTGTTCATCGTATGGAGACTGTGGGATCGTGTGTTCACATGGAGCGAACGAATACGCGAACTTATACCTTCCGTCAGACTTGTGGTGTCGGTTCTTGAATTGCCATAACGGCCTCCACGTGGTCCCCCAATGATCCACCTGAACGGCGGTACTTTCCTGAACAAATTCACAAAAGTCCAACACAATTTCCCACCCTGTATTAAATTTTCAAGTTTTTAATTTTTGCCCATATAAAACACTGACCAAATACCATCAGCTGATCAAGTACCTATTGTTGCTCCAAACACTTAATTTTACTACAATAAAATGTTCAAACCAACATTCTAGTTCGATACTCGTATACAGTGTGGCTTTTTTATAATCTTAAGAATTATTTATCTTCGATTGCCAATTTGCAATAAAGCAGGAAAGCTCGATTGGATATAACAATATGACGTTTGTAAGGGAGGAATCAGCCTGTCTCAAAATTTGTTATTTTTTCAAAATTTAATTAAATAGGTTCGCTATCGGAAATTGACGATACCTGAGATTTCCGCAGATGTGCGATGAGAAGGCGCAGTAGATAATCGGATTGGCAGCGGAATTCAAAGGAGCCAAACTTTGAATGAACGTAGCGATGGCGATATTCGTCTGGGTGTTTGGTATGTGACCGAAGACTTGGAGCAGGTCGAATACGATGTACGGGCTCCAGCACAGTATAAATACTATAAAGAGAAAAGAGAAAGAATAATTGAAAATAAAATTAATAAAAATATTTTTTAAATATATAAAGTGTACTCTATTACGCGATTTATTTTTCGGTGAAGATCATTCCCTTATATTTTTTTCCTTCCCTTTTTTTCACATTGTCGTTTTTTTTTTCCTTTCACAAAGTATTTACACGGTACTGGATATATAATATGTATTGAAAGTGGATATTCGGATTAAGAGGTTCAAAACATCCCTTAGCATATTTTTTATTTCCAAGGGGATACTATAGCGTACTATGCTCTATGCTCTTTGGGCAAATCACTTTTAAGCCAAAATAGAGTGAGTGGAGGCTGGAGATGGATGAAAGCGTGAAAATGGCTTTTCAAACTTTCTGGAATATGTAAAAGCACATTCAGCCGGGTTAGGTTAGATTATTTTAAAAAGTCAAAGGACAAAGGGGTTGAAACAAATTTTGGTAAAAATATAGCCAGACTAGGGAAATAGATTTGTGGTCTTACTGATATTTTCGGCTGGTATGTACCAAATGAAAATTAATTGAAAGGGTCGTTAATGCAATTTCTGTAATTTTGATAAATTCTGTATTACTGTAACAAAAAATTAATAACTCACCAAATACTATGACAAATGTCATTTTGACAGTTTTTATCTTAGCACGTGGTATCAGTCCACGACTACTGGCTCTTCTGGTATCTTCGTCTTCATCCAAGTGTCCTGAAATATACAAAACAACAGAAATTCATTGTATCGCCCTTTAATAAAAATCTTTAACCGAAGTTAACCTTATCAATACACAGCAAACTTGAAAATATATACATATAATTAAATAAAATTAAATAAATAAAATAATTTTGAGAAGTCACCATTTTTTTTCATTAACAAGAACAAAGTCTTGACCTTACGAAATTTCCGAGTGAAATTTAAAAAAAATATTGCTACTCAACAAATTATTTGATTTATTCCGCATATCTTAATTATTATATTTTCTCATCTCCTTTCGTATTGGTTACCATTGATTTTTGGTCGCGACACACTCGGTGCGAGCAACTTGCTTTTGCTCCATATCGTGAAGACAATTGATGCGTAACAGGCAGAAATAATAAGCGCCGGCAGGATGAAAACAGCGACGCTCACCAACGATATGTATATCTGCCATTGTTGAGAATTCAGGTGGCACCAGCATTGCAATTTGTCTGCGAATCATTCGGCACCGTGAAATACGATCATTTACATGCGCGCCAGCATGGTAGGGGAATTCGTATTCGCATTGAAAGGAAAATTGACAATGGCCATTAGGAGGAAAATAATATTTAAACGCGAGGAGACACAACGGAAATTCTTGTGATAAAACAATCATAATAATTTAACATTCAGCGTGTATTACCTTGTATAGCAAAACGATGGCTGTGGTTAAACATTATTTTCTCATGGAAATAAAGCATGATACATTCCTGTGACATTTTTTTCTCTCATTTAATTCGAGGATGATTCTTCTTACGCGTTGATACGCACTTTTACTCAGGCGGTTGTTAACTGACCAGCGCAGTATCGCGATACACGTTTTATTTTCACGTCTTATATTAATTTGCGATACGTTCACACTCGTATGATGTATAATATTCGCAAAGAGTCAATATAAAATATTATATTTTTCCCCCTTTGATTTTTTTGAATATCACTGAATTTCCCGCCAATAAATATTTGAATGTGAGATTCAATCGAATGTCACTATGTGGCGCTACGTACAATGGAATTTTAAAGCCGACTTGACGTTTTGAAGGAAAATTTATTTGCTCCCGAGACCCTGTTCCTCATTGTCAGTTCGATATTTCTTTCATTTATACATTTCGGCAGGAATTTTAATAATCTAAGATGAAAGCTGCAAATGACGTATTGGACCGTTACAATTGACAAATGCAGGATTAATTTTTTTCAATGCTTCGTTTCAATTCATCTCAGTTCTCAGGTAGAAAATAAAATTCAAGTAAATAAAGGCAAAAATTTCTACGCCAAGTTACTTACTCTCGACGATCCTTTCCTTGAATAAAAGTCCATTTGGCGTGGCAAACAGCAAAGATAAACACCAAGCCCCGGCGACGAGGCATCTTGCACGGAACCCTGGGTAAATATGTAATATTAATATCCATTAAAATTTTGAGCTAGTTCAACACTCGTCACACCGATTGAAATGGTCATTGAATACTCACAGCTTCCAGAAAAATTCATGGGATGGGTTATGGCGTCGTATCTGTCTATACTGAGAGCAACGAGGACATACGTTGAGCTATATGTCACGGCGGCCTTCGACAAACAAACAAAAAACAATAATCACATACAAAGTACTGAAAGAACGATACAGATTGTTACGGTGTGTAAGTAAAAATTAATGAAAAATTTGAAAAGAAAAAAAAAACGAAACAATTCATCCCCCTCGGATTGTTAACCCTCAGTTTATTTAATCATAAACTTCTCAGCGTGGAATCAGTACTGAAAGTCTGCCGAATCGCCTTTGACATTTAAGATGATTAGGCTTTAAATAATAGAAGAAATAAAAAAAATTTCTTCCACAAACAACCTGCAGGCTTCTTCGAGAAATCCATGGTGCTGCTTGTACGATTGAGAATTTGTCTGACACAGGCAGCCAGGAGAAAAAAGAAATTCAAAGCTTTGTACTCGACGTAAGAAGGATAAGAAAATCTTTGAGCGATGTTGGGTCAAAAGAGAAGGAATAACGTCAAAAGATATCAGGAAAAAGCTTTCACTCCTCCGGGGCTAAAACCCTAAGGTGTTTCCATTTTTTCGTTCTCTAAGTCCTTTGCAAAATTTCTATTTTCAACGACAGGTTCAATAGGATCCGGAACCTTCAGTCAACCTTCAGAAAAAAATTTCTGAACGTCTTATAGAAACGGATTTTGAGCCCATACATGAAATTCAATGAAAGTAGCAACAGGATAAGTAGATTTGAAATTTCATCTATACATATAGGTAGCCAGACTGGTTGAACTATTGAAAATGGATACTCATTGGACTAAGTTCATCAACAGGTTTGTAACATCAATCTGAATATAAACTTAATTAGATATTAAAACAGGCACTAATGTGTCCCTTAATTAGATCTGGTCTAAAAGGCAATCCAAGAGGAAGGGATACGTGATGACTTTGATTGAGATGCCCGTGGACGATCAGCAAGGTCCAGTAGCACTGCTAAGAGATGAAGGAAGAATCGACAAGAGCTCAAAGAGAAAATTCAAGAATTCTTACAAGGAGGAAAACTTTGGAAGCTATAAAAAAAAAGTCATTAAACTAAGTCAAAACGAAAGGCACTTATCCGCGCTCCAATTGTTTGCAGTATTATTGCGAATGACAGGACTGGATTGAATGTCTGTTGCCCAGGAAAATAATGACCCCATAAGAATACATGGATTCGTGTCAATTTAATTGAATATCCTCGGATTCCTCGAATTTTCATTGAAACCATCCACCCCAGCTGAAACGAACGAAATTCTACTATTTTTATTCCTATAATTTTGCCAATTTCTATGAACCCACGAGGTCGTGCAATTTTTGTAATTAAACTTTCTACGATGGCGCTTGTTCCACCAACTTTCAAACTTTCAAAACTTTCGTCAACTATATGTACAGGCACATCAAAGGCACTCATACGTGTATCTCGATAAAGAAGAGATTTCAGCTGGTATGTGGTCATCGCCATGGACAATTTAGTCACGTTCCCTTGTTAGGTGTTAGCTTGACAGTTTTCACGCTGTAGAGTTAACGACGTATAATACGGGTAACGGTCGATAATTAATGGAGAAAATGTACCTGAAGGTAACGTATGAGCTTGCACGCTAAATTCCCAGCGAGCCATTCAACGGTAAATCGCCAGGCGATATCAGTGCCAACAGATATTAAGCCAACAAGTAGATCTGCGAAAGAGAAAATTATTTTTTAATTAAAAAAGAAAGGAGCAGATATGTAAAAACCGTATAAAAATTTCTCTTGAACCAGACAAAAATCCAGAATTATTAATAATCTTGAGAGTTACGAAGGCTTAGGGAAACGGGTCAGCCTCATTTGACTAACAAATTCAATCGTTCCCAGACCGAACGTCATCATTACGAATTCCTGAAGGATAATCACCAGAAAAAAAAAGGAAAGGACCTGATAATTGTCAGCGTGGAAAATATAAAGACCCCCGGGTATCAAGATCATCAAGGTTCCATGGTTTGAAGTTTTGCTAGATAAGCCATTGGCTTTGGTAATCCTGACGAATCCTGGCAAAGGGTTCAGAGGACAGAAGATGTCTAAAATGTGACTAGGAGCTGGTCTCTTGCGACTTCAGGAGACTCAGCAAACCTCTAGCACGAGACTCTAGGTCCTCTTATTCCTGTCAGAGGCCTCAAGAGACTCTGGACTCTCTGGAGGACAGTTTTCTCTTGTCTGTAATCTATACACACAGTAATACCTGATCTAACTAAGTGTCACAAGGATCCTTAAATACTGATAAAATTATTACCGATAAGAACCACCGTGCCTTGTACACTTATTAATTTGATATCCGTCAAAATCTAGTCATCTAATCAAATCAATTGTATCGACATAAATGGCAGCTTCCCCGTGATCGAATAATCAGTAAATAAGAAGAAAAGGAACAATATTTTGTCATTTTACTTGCGGTCCATGTGCATTTTCCAAAAAAATAAAAAAATAAAAAATCTAATGCGGAACCAACGCAAACCTTTTCCACCAGGAACTTAATGTGCTTTCGTTGTTCACGACATCAGCCATCAATATTGATTACCGTAGTAACATCGTCCTCGAGAAACCATTCCGTACTTGACCCTAAGAGGATTCGTATCCTCCAAAGGGATATTTGATAAGCGAATGCATTTAATAATATATTTATATCGGATCCCTTATCGGTAGTATCGAATATGATAACAGCCCTATTCCTATCAAATCCCCAATACCATAGATCACCGTAGCAGAGTCTTCGTTTCCCGTTACTAAATTTGATTCTAAATTAATCTTTTCTTTCCCAATTATACAGCCACGTGATTAACTTCGAAACACCATATACGCAACTAATCTACACCTAAGTCAACGCGCGCTATACAGTAGGTACACAGCAAAGTGGATCAATTTGATAGAAGCTTCAACATTCAAGTATATCAACAGGCGGTTTTCTAAAGTTCACGTATATATAGATATAGTCGACAAGTATCGTAACTTACAGCTAAAGTATACATACAGGAAGGAGAAATGGCATGTATAAGGAATTTATTGATTAACCTGTACATAGGGGTAGTTACTACAGGGTGGAGGGCTGGTGCGAATAGGAAGTTCATATGCCGAAGGATGAAAAAAATCTAAATATATACTTAACTAAAATGAGAAAAGCGTTATTTCACATTTTCCTTAAGATAACAGTATATACAGATATACAAGTGTAGACACAGGAATTCATTTTACAGGCGGTTATATATTTGAGGGACGTAAGGCATCTCGAAAATTCGTCGCGTGAAAATGTCGGCTGATAAGAATTATCTGTATAATCGAATTTTGTATAAGCTCGTTATGTGATTCAGTGAAGAATTTATTACGACGGCAGGTTCTATTATAACGAAAATTAAATCACAGCTTTAATTCACTCTCTTCCTGTAGATATGACTAGACTGTAAATATATGGCAGGTAATAGTCTGGTATTAGTACATGAAAAAGTAAAGCTACAATTAGCACCAGTGCTTAATTACGTGTTGTCGGGTAACTAGACTCTTCTTGCGAAGTATTAAGGCTGTTTTATCCTGGCTAATTGGTTTAACATAGTTAAGGGTTTGTTAGCAGCTCGTTTCCCGTAAGATTACACCGACGAGTTTGATTGGTGGGTTGGAAGGTACATTTTTTATATTAATTTTGAGCTGCACTTTAAAAAAAAAAAAATACTCACCGGCAATTGCCAGCTGCATAATGAAGTAATTCATTCTGGTCTTGCGACTTCTTCCGAGCAAAAGTGCAGAGAGAACGGCGCCATTGCCGATGACTATGCCGAAAAATAGAAAACCCAGCACCAGGAATTGCTCCCTCTGAAACGATAAGGTTAATGGTCGATTTGTATTGTCTCGGAGGACGTCGGATTTGAGAGAGAAAACGGTGCGACGAAAGTGAGGATGTCAAGACGAGAGAAATGACAAGGTGCGAAAGAGACGAGCTAACCGAAAAAAAAGAAAGCTTAATAAAAAGAAAAATTGTATCCAGAGTTACCGGCCAGACTGAAGAAGACTATACCAATATATTTATGGTTACTTATGTCACTGGATTTACCAAGTAAAGCCGCTTTAAGGGAAGTAAATAAAAAAAACTGATGTATATATACTAGACACCCTATAGCTACGTTCCTTCGTCTCTTTCACATCCATTGTACTTATATGTATCAGAGCCTTTTTCTTCACGATATTCCAGGATCTACTTACTATATATATGTATATATAGATATCCATATACATATGTATATATATATGTACAGTGTCCAATACATTATATCGAGTATAGCTAGGTACATCCTAGAGAGTTTCCACTGAGAGAAAAGATTATGAAATCCTAAAAAATCCTTCGAGACTTAACCTCATGGAGAATAATATAGGTAGAATGGAAGACGTGATTCTCGTAAGTAAAACCACCCAGTGCGGTTCGCCAGAAAGAAGAGAAGAAAAGACGTGAAAAAATGTGAAAATGGAAAAAAATTGAGTAAAAAGTGAAATGAAGGAAAATCGTCGGAATCGATTTAACGAGTGAGTAATGAATATAAAATTACCAGGATGAATAACTTGACTCACCTCGTAGAAGTAAAATGAATTAATACTCTCTTGGCCGGAGGTCTCGTTCCCCGCAGTAGCGAGGATCTCGTCCAGGGTGAAATTTCGCCTGAGGTAGTTGCTGTCGCTGCTTGAGTTTTCGGCAGCCCGAATGAACTCGGGCTGCGCCATTGCCCTGGTTGAGTCTGTACGGGCTGCTTCACGCGATCCTAGATATCCTGGATAAGATCATCCAGGAGTTACCGAAGGGAGTAAAAGCCACCCGGGAATCCCATGTCATTATTAAAACCAGTTGCTCCCCGGACAAATAGGCATGGTACATCCACCGTAAATAACAGCCCGGACGGAACTAACGACCAAGTTGAGAGGATCTGGTTATTTTATTCTTAATAACTTACACTTTGGACATTCAGACGCCTATTTTATCCTCAGTCTATCTTGTTATACTTTCTCATTCATCCGGCTGCTTTATCCTCTTGGGTATTCACTCCTTTGAGGCGAAATTCTGCGTTGGAAAACACGAAGCACATTCAAAGGCTTTGACCCAACAAACGCATAAATTTTTAACTCACATACAGTATAGCACACCTAAGTTACGTGGAAGCTATCAATTTCTACTGAAATACCTATCGCGTTACATTCGATATTGCTTAATCCTAACCAAATACGAATGCAACTTGTTACATATTTGAGTATTACATAAATTAATGGTTTGCTTATAATTTACATTTAAAATCTATGTATAGTGCTGAAAATGTTATATGTCCACTGGGTAGAGTTATTACTGATATTAAAATATCATTATACTAATTCATAGATGATATACTGTATGCATAATTTGTTATACTGAATCAAGTGTATACCATTAATGTTATAATTAATGGAGGAAATTAATTATATTGGTAATCAAAGACACGAAACGGGTGGATAAGTTATTTGTAAACTAAATCATACAATTTTATATAATTTATTGAATATATATATATTTTCGACTGGTTATACAATTTGTCGATATCACGACGATTAATTGTTCTGTCAGTGGAACAAAATTCTTACGATGCATCTTTGTCTTTATCGATAATTTTTCATAATAGTCCTAGCCTCCCCTCCTTTGTTTTTTCGTTCGCACGGCTCGTCATCGGCCAAGAGCTTTCTCGAGATTAAGAGACAAGGCGTCGCTCTAGTAGGAGATATTTCTTGGAATTATTGGTATGCGTGGCAGTAAGGGCTCAAAGGGAATTTCACGAGGGGAAAGAAAACGTAAATTCTAGATGAGAAAATCAACGTGATTAGCACAATGGGAATAAGAGAACTCGTCAAGTTTTCAAGTAATAAACGTTCTCTTGAAATTCATAGTGAATGTCGTAACCGACACTATTGGCGCTACGCTAGGCGTCCTTTCTGCAGAGAGCGATAGCACGTTTTCCTGACTTTGACGTTTTGTCGTGGCTGCGGAGGAATTAATTAAGTAAGTCCACCTGACTGCCTTTTGATGAAATTAATATCTTTGACATTTTTTATCCCTTCCAGTTATCCACACTGACTGACTGACTTCAATTTCAACGAAAGGCTGATCGAAGGCAAATTGAAAGTAAAAAGGTGTCGGGGCTGCTTTTCGCGTTAGGTTCGTTCAGTTGGCAATTCTCAGTCACCCTGTGTGTAAGCTCATCGATGCGTTATATGAGAAAGATAGACGTTATTTATATTAAATGATAGCCATTATCCACGTGGTCGACGTGAGAAAGGCCAATAGCCAAGGGCAAGGTTAGGTTGGGTAACCGAGGGATAAATAAAAAAACCACCAGGTGTCGTTAGTAAGGTGACAATTTATCGTTTGGCGACAATTTTAACCCTTGCTCCTTTACCTCCTTTTTTTATTATCTCGCTTGATCCTGAATCATCTTTAGTATTGTCTTTTCTCTTTGTTCCTCTTTCGACAAGGGCGTGACTCCTTCTTTCTTTATTCTTAGCCAGATTCAGGGTTATGCTGGATACAGTCAAGATTCTAGAAGCATCTTGAACATTGGACGAAACTGATCTTTGGGCATGACTCAAATTTAGGATTTAGGTATGACGTGACAATTTACGTGATAAGGGAGAAAGAAAATTTTCCTCTTTTTTTCGTGCTGAAGGATAACGCTCGATTTGATAATGTTTTTTCCTCTTTTTTTTCTTATCCCTTCTTCATGTTCGTTCAATTTAAAGAAAGTTCCATAGACGCCCCAAGATAAATTCAACGTCGGTCAGTGGTCCGCGAACCGTGAGATAGAAGGATTTCGCGAACGTGGGTAGATTTCTGTGAGAGCGCTGTTTTTTCGTATACCTTTTTTTCTGTGTCTCTTTCTATTTTGCTCTTGGTCCTTTTAGCAGGCTTAAATTAGTACTTATTGGTTTACATTTAGAGAGACGTCTACGTGCAAATATTTGCTCGTCTTTAATAAACGTTACGTTTTAGATGCTCGTGCGTGTTCAGGCGTCCTGCTCATTTTCATGTAAAAATGCGATGGAAAGATGAGAAGAAAATATATGTAAATTTATCTACTTCTTGGTATATTTTTATTGGAATAGATCTGCGTCGAATCTCTTTGATGCAACTATATGACATACTCGGATTTTCAGCAGTTTGAGATCAATGTAAAACGACAACGTGTCTTTTTTGCAAAGACAATAAATTGGTGCATAAAGAATATCGACGTACGTTCTTTCATCTTACCGTGGAAAAATGTCGAAAAATAGTGAAACGTTGGAAAAATAAAATTCTATCGACGAGTATTTCCTGGCTACGTCGACGAATTTAAACCACCTAGAAGCTCCCTGGTACCCTACGTTACTTTGCCATAGCAACAAGAAAGGAAATTCCAGAGAGCAGAGGTCAAAGGGTAACTAGACATTGACATTTCGAAGTAACGAAAATGGCATAACCAATGTTCTACGTGAATTGAATAAATTAAAGAAAATAAAAGAAAAATCAAACGTTACTCGAAGAAGGAGTAGCCATCTTTATGGAAAAACTTTTTTTTTCCTGATTTTTCCATAATTTTAATATTAACGTATATACGTCCGCAAATAACATCGAGATATTTTCACTTCAATTTAATTGAGTAAATAAAAAAAATAAAGGTATTGCCAATGTTGACTCAAACGATCGAAGAAGCCGACGGACGTCGTTCTTTGATGTGACGTTTTAACGTCGAAATTTTATCAGCGACACCATTCACTGGCATTTTCATAACCTCTAACATATCTTATGCAAAAGTATATAGTCGAGCATTCAGTTTATTTAAAAAGGCAAATACGTAAACGCACCATGAGAATATGTCAAGATGGCGGCTCAAAAGAAACACACGAGCAGTGGCGCATAGGCAGAATGATAGTCACTGGCTTTGAAATGTCATTGGCGGAATTTAAATCAAAGAAATTTCATCGGCATTCACGCCAACGGAAGACCCGAGGTGTGTTCCTAAATCTACTCTCGTACACTGGAGTATCGTTCTGGTTCTGTATACCACCATACGTTCGACAAAGACACACCGCGATACTCTGGGATACAAGAGTGAGATTTTGGAACATAACCGTTATTATAGAAACTACCGGCGGAATTAATCATAATAATTAGTGTCCTTTAGAAAATTCATGGTTCTCGATCTTCTAACCTGACGTAACGAGCTACAGACGAAACCGCACAATTATCGTTTGACGTCACGATACAGTAATATTGACAACTACCTTAGACGAGCTTTGTTCTACGAATATAGTAACGGCGGTTGGCTGTGAAACACGTTTTACTTGCTCAACAAAGTGTCCCTTTGTCCCAGCACCGTTTCTTTGAATCGTTCAACATTGAAAACAACCATTTTATATATATATATATATATATATATATATATATATATATATATACATATACAACATACGTAATTTTTTTAATAAAACGAGCTTTTCGTTTTTCTACTTTTCCCACAAATAAAATAATGGTCCACCATTAATGTCCAAAGTGTATAAATAATTTACTCCACATTCTGGAACTTCACAACGGGCGCATAACTTTTGCGCGGGATATTTGAATCCCGCCACAAAGAAGTCTTAGAAAAAAGCATAGAGTATCAGCACTATAGATACGTATACGTCGATAAAATTTTTCGTAACGATATTTACGTACGAAAATACAAAAATGATTACTAAAAAACAGAATTTTCGCAAAAATATTACAGAAGCTTTTGGCATTCAATCTCAAAGAGAAGAATTAACGTTCTGTAGTTCTGTACTGACGACAAGAGGTGTCATAACAAAAGTTGTCCAAAGCAGCAAAATTTTCTATTAGCATCGAGGAGCGTTTATTTATTATCATTTATCCGTTCTACTAACATCATATATACGTATATACCCAGAGAACTTTTCTCGAACATACTATAATATACACCAAAGCTAACCATCATAAGTAGATACATAGCAACGTCAGAAAGACACGAGGGAAATAAATTCGCCCTTTCCCGTGGTTTAGTTTGTCTTCTTCTTTTCTCTCTCTCTCTCTCTCTCTTCCACTTCTACTACTCACGTCTCACTCTGTCTCTTTCACTCTCAGACTTCCCGTCTTAAACCTTTCTCGTTCTTTTTCTCAATCCTTTTTTTCTCTTCTTTATTGTTCCTTCGCGCGAAAACCAACATGGGGATACGTAATCCAATTCAATTCCGTCGCTACGCGTAAATCAAGTCATATCTCCCGCAAGTAAGTGGCTTGTAAAAGGCAACAAAACGGACTCGTTCCGTTCGGTGTATATAAATCTATATATACTTATACAGCCCGTTACAATTTTTATTACTCAGACGTCCCATATATTATAAGCCTGTATCATACCTTATTATCTGTTATATTATCATAAAGTGAATATATGAAGACCTTCTATATTTGAATAGGACGTTTGTCGCCGAGAACCGCATGAATAATTCTGAGATTTAAGTAATTTACAGGGATCATGATCCAGGAGTAAAAGGAGATTAGCAATAGGAATTCTCTCCCTTGAATACTATCCTTTAATTCCTTTGATGTCAAATCCTCAAACCCATGAGTATGTACTCGCTGTGGATCAAAATTCCATTTTGGGACTTTGAACTGAAGAAGAATTCTGCAACAGGTGACGTCATTATGAATTTATTGAATAACAAGTCACTCCGATTAAATTTCAACCGCGTTAATTTCAATTAAATTAAATTAATGATTTTTTTCATCCTATAATTTTATTTGTAACCTCACGCCATTTTATAGATAAATTCAATTTAATTGATCTCGTTGACAATTTTCATCGTGTTCACTCTTTGACTCTTCATAGGAATCAGTACACATAGTATTCTATACTCTCTCCCAAAGCGGAGGCTGACGATTTAAATGAATTAAGATTTAAATTAAGCCCTAAATTAATCCTCTTAGTTAGCAAAGAGCTAAGTGTACGTGTGTATAATCTTTGAGAAAAATTCTCTTTGAATCTGCATGACATTTGTGAAAAAAAA